CTTGGCTAGCAGGGACCACACTGTTAGGCTGACGTGAAAAAGGACTTCCTGTGCGGGCAGCTGCAGGGAGAATGAAATGGCACTGCTTGGCCAGGGCCCTTTCTTTGGAGACATTCATTCTGAAGGCACAGGCCGCTCCAAGCCTGCTCAGCACTGGTAATGAAGTGGCTGCCAGTGTTGGTGGCTTGGCAAGGGAGAGAGAGGGAGTAGACTCGGAGACCTCGAACGTGCCCTGTGCCCTCAGCTGGGAATCTCGCCTTTCTCTGCACACTCAGCTTGAATAAGCTGCCGTGTCCACATAGAAGCCTGTGGAAACCCTTTGGGGTAGTCCCAGGCAAGAGTTGTTTTAACAGCTCTTTTTTATATAGGAAATTGTCATGCCAAAACTAAAAGGCATTCTTAAGAGCAGAAAACAGTGTAAGTTGCATTAATTACAAATTCTGCCTCAAATTTAAAAAAAAAAAAGGTTGTAGTGAGTGAAGTTTAAAAGTGAGTCATTTTTTTTTAACTCTAACTTGCCAAGAGTCTCCATTGGTTAATTGATCTAGTTATCTCAACAATTACTAGCTTTGTGACTACATAGGCTTTCAGAAAGTGTCCTCTGTTAGGTTTGAGAGGATTCACAGGTAAATTAAAGCATATTAGGGAAACTTCTGCAGCTTATTTTGACCACTTATTTTTAGATTCAACAAACAGACCCTCTTATCCTCTTTCACACACTTTTTGCCGTTCTGATATAGTTGGGGGGGGTCTGCTTATCAACTGTGGGCCTTTTTAAAAAAATACCAATGCAGCTCTACTCATAAATTGCGACAATAGCTCAGTATTTCCTTCCCAATGTGAAACATTGTAAAAATAGTATCTTGCCCAGAAAAGCGAAGATCCTCTCAAAACCTGGTAAATACAGACCTATTATCAGAATTGATCAAAATTGTTGTTGTTAATCCTGTGGTTTTAAGAAACTTCATTTAGCAAAAAGCAATTTCAGTGAAAGCCTTCATTTGTGAGATGAGATGGTGGAGAATAGCATGTGTTTTCATGCTTTGTTATTAGACGGGAGAGAGAGAATGAGGGATTTGGAAAAATCCCTTTCTTGTTGTGATAGCTTGTGTTCACCCCAGTTATTTAATTTGTTTCACAGAAAGGCCCAGGCAGTGGGTATTGTGTTTCAAGACTGGAGTACCAAAGCTTATGGTGGTCTTTCTCAGATAGATTCAAAGCCAGCCTCTCTGGACAGGAGTTTTTGCTACGAACTCCTTGTAAATCAGGTCCGTACCTGGGCTTTGTGTATAGGGGCCTGGTGCTACTCAGTGCATAGCTCCTTGAGAATGCTTTTCTGGATGAAGATTTTTTGCAGGACACTTCCAAAGAAAGAAGAGGTTCCCCTCCCTTGACCCACTGAGGTTACTTTAGAACAAAAAAGAAGGATGCAACATTCAGACAGGGACTGGATTTGACCTGTGCCAGAGGGTAAAATGTATAAATGAAAGAATCAATCATACAACATAACCTTTTTACGTTATCATCTTAGCCGGGCAACAATTCAGTGAGGTAAGTGTTGCAGATAGTAAGTATTAAAGCCCCATCTTACAGATTAAGAAGTTGATGCTTGGAGATGTGGGGTTGACTTACTCCTGGGAGAAGGTAGCAACGAGCACAAACCCAGGGTCACATTTTCTGACTCTGGTCCTCATAGTGGGAACTTGAACTCAGAGAACATTGTCTTGCCTGTTGTAGGTACTTATTAAAGCTTTCTTGGGCTGAACATGAAGTGGGCAATTTTAACCTCATCCCCTTATTTTTCATCCTGGCAGGGGCATTCCTGATTCCCTATGTGGTGTTTTTTATATGCTGTGGAATTCCTGTTTTTTTCCTGGAAACGGCTCTGGGACAATTTACGAGTGAAGGTGGCATTACGTGCTGGAGGAAGGTGTGCCCTTTATTTGAAGGTAAGTGTTGAGAGAATCAGAAAATAAAATGATGCCTGAGTGACGGCAGGTGGTGAAGAGCAGGTGAAGACTGTTTTAACAAGATGGAAAGGGGCTCAAATCACTGCTGCTCCTTTGTTTCTTTCAGGCATTGGCTATGCAACGCAGGTGATCGAGGCCCATCTAAACGTGTACTACATCATCATCCTGGCATGGGCCATCTTCTACCTGAGCAACTGCTTCACCACGGAGCTCCCCTGGGCCACCTGTGGGCACGAGTGGAACACAGGTATGGCCCCCAGAGAGGGTCTCTGCTAGTCTTGCTGGGGGACCTGGAATCGGTGGTGTTCCATGTCTTTTGACGTGAGTCCAGATTCCACTAAAACTGAGGGCTCACTCCTGCACCTGGTCTATGCACTCTGTGAGTTGCAGCCCTGAACCTGAGCTGAACACTGGCCCAGGGACTGGCACAGGGAGAAGGACTGACTGTCTTTCCTTGCTTTGCCAAATAAAGAAACAGCCCTTTGGGGGCAGAGTTGGGATATGAGGAAGAAGTGTTGAACTGAAATTCAGGGGTTCAGGCTACAATTCCAGCCCTGACTCTGCATGTCAGATTTTCCTCTATAAATTGAAGAGGTTAACTAGATCAAGGGTTGCAGACAGGGGGCCTATAAGCCAGTTAAGCTTTAGATCAGTGACCAGCAAATTCCAAAAGGTATTTGGTTGCCAAAATTGAAAAATCAGAAAACTTCTTATGAAAATTCAGGTTTCCAGCTTTTCTTTAAAAAATTAAGTAGTTCTGACAACACCAGAGCCATGTTCCTATCTGACTTTGCAGCAGTGGCTACAGCTGAGAAGTGGCTATTGCCTTTGGATGAGGCATCTGTCCTCAAGTTGGCCACAGTCCCCACCTAGCCCACATTGCTCACTTACTCTACCTGTCCAACCCAGGTAGATGTTTGAATACAACACCCTCCTACTCCCTTGAATGGATAACTTTTTAGATTACTTTGGATGCTAATATACTGTTTACTTTTCAATTTGTCTTCTTATCAAGATTGAGTCTTATAATCTAGGGAAGGCAAATACTTCCCAATCTATATCTACAAAGGCTGTGCTCTGTACAGACATCACTAATTGACTGTAGAACTCTTTCCTTTTGAGTCTAGTCTTGGCCTCAGAACACTTCTCCATAGTGTCCTAGGCAGCCACTGCCTTTTGACTGAAACTGAAACACAGGCTTTAACCTTTTCACCATCTATCACCTGTGGTTAAGTTGTCCTTGGAAGTGACCAGTCATCCTGAGCACTGAGATGTAATAAGTCTGGGTAGGATGTTGGTCATGAGCAAAAGAAACAGTAGACATTAGACCAAGAAAACACTGTGAACTAGCTTCTAGCCCTGCACGACTTTCCTTTCTTCCTTGCTCCCCTACCCACCTCATTTTGTGGGATCCCATTTTTCTCTCCTTGGTTCTTAACCTTTCTTTGCCCAGGGACCTAATAGAGATGTTTATTGAACTAAAATTCAAGGACATGTTCTTGGAGGCCTGTGAGTCCTCGTGATAATTTAATTGTGTGTATTTATTTTGAGGATACTCTAAAAATATGTGCATGTCCTGGATCATCTGCATAGCCACCTTAAAACTGAGGACAGTTGGGGGAATCCCAGTGCCTGACTTTGTCCATGTTTACAACTTAAGATGCATTCTTGGTGAATAGCATGGTGGTGGCCAAGGGGAAAAGAGCAGAGGGATTTAATTCTAAAATGGTGCATTAATGCTAAGTGAAGTCCAGCCGAGAACGCAACAAACTGTAGGAACAAAGGTTTTGTGAAAGTGTGACCAGAGGAAAATGGTGATAGAATTGAGTCTCAAGCAGCCCGTGGAAGAATAAGCAAGCTGAGCTCATAGACCCTGCCTCCTGTCTGTTAGTTCCACTTTTCTGTTGAGAAGTCCACTTAATTTCCAAGGTGGCATTACTGTGCTCATCCATTTTATGCTGTCATTTGAATCGTGTTAGTTCTGTAGTTTAGTTGGTATTTAACTTGTAAATTCTGGTTTTATAGTTGTATGAATACTATGATCACAAAGACTATAACTTATTATTTATTTGTACATGATTAAATGTCATTTTAATAAAAATACCTTGTCAACCTTGGGTGTTTGATAAAGTTTTTTTTTTACTTTAGGAAAAAGAAATTTGAGGAACACTATTTTAGAGAATCTGAAAAAAACTGAGGGGGTCTCGCTGCAGAAAAAGGCACAAGGGCATTTTGACTATAGTATCAGGTCCTCAGACTCTTCTTAGGACTGTCTGTGGACCCCACAGACCCTTTCCTTTCCTAATATGGTTAGTACTTGCCAGGGGAAGTGGAGAGGGGGAAGACACTTGGGGGCCTTTTCCCCAGTGAACTGCAAATCTTTCTTCCACTTATCTGCACACGTCTTTCTCTGAAGGCATGTGATGCCACTTGCAATGGGTGAAACATCACATGGAGTAGGTGCTTCCTGCTCCAGAGATGACAGATGCCGTTGGAGGGTTTGTGGGCACACGAGGAGAAAGAAGTGACAGACTAGGGCCAAACACTGTCTCTGTGCTGGCCTCTGTGTGGAGTGCGGGGGCTTTGAAATGAGTGGGTGCAGGAGGCGCTGTCCTCAGGGAGCTTGCAGTCTGGTGACTAAGGCAGCTCTCTAAGCCAGGAGGTGCTGTAAAGAGGCCTGGATCCCATGGTGGCAGACAGAACGAGGCAATAATCATGGCAAAGGAGGTGGAGCCTTGGCTGGAATTGATGCCCTGTTCTTCCCCTGACTGACTGGTGACTCATGAGGAGGGAGAGAGTGAGGGTGGGAGTCCTTCAACTACTTATGAACATTGATTCCTCCTCTTCAAGTTAAAGAGAGGTGGGGAAGGTGGCTCCTTGGAGGACCTTTAAATTCCAGCTTTCTTAGAATTCTGGGAGGGAGGTCAAGGAAGGCTTCCTGGAGGAGAGGGTAATGGATTGATCTGGGCCTTAAAGGTTGAACACTCAGATGTTTTTAACTTGAGATTCAAATCTCCCTTGGTCATCAAGTTTTATGAAATGAGAAGAGATATTCAATCAGTCCTTTCTTGGACTGATGGAGAGAAGGCAGGAAAGATGAAGACGCTAGGGTTCTTTTCACATTTGGACGTTTGGACGTTATTTCATCCAGTCATCAGGTCTTATGAGGCAGCTGTGTTATTAGCCTCTTTTTACATGAAGGAAGACTGAGTCTCAGCTGCATTCCTGGTGCAGGGACGCCGTGACTGATGTCCTCTTTAGTCCCCTCATTCCTGCCGGGGCACTAAGCAGAACAGGTAAATGCCATCGACAGGTCTTAGGCAGGGAAGTGGAAAAGATGAAAGATTCGGGATCAAGGCAAGAGGAAAGAATCTGAAAGAGACTCTCAGTGGGAATAAAAGGAGGCGCTCTGCCCCCAAAACATCCCCTCCTGTTCCAGTGAAGCCGGGCCTCTCTCTGAAACTGTTTGTTAGTGATTGATTTTCCCCAGTGTTCCCTGAGGCGTGTTTACCTGGAGCGGCTGGGTAAACCCGTGTGCTTGCACCATCGGCTCTGAATGTTTTCCAAGATCCAGACCTCGCAGAGGTTAATTTTCTTGTGTTTCTTGTTTCCACTGTAGAGAATTGTGTGGAGTTCCAGAAACTGAACGTGAGCAACCACAGCCACGTGTCCCTGCAGAACGCCACCTCTCCTGTCATGGAGTTTTGGGAGTAAGTGGAAACACCTTGTCTCTCTTCGCCCGTGGGGATGCCGTCCTGGTTCTGCCCAGTTAACGTTGCCCCCAGCCCTGGAAAAAGCCTGACCCTGCCTCCAGCCTTGCACTGCCTGGCTTCTGCAGGCCTCTGACTCCTTTGGAAACCAGAGTGGAGATCTTGAGAGGTTTCCCAAGGGGGCAGCTGAGAGAAATGCTTTCTTGTTCTTTGAGGACATGTCAGCTGATGGGCAGTTTAAAAATTCATTTGTATCAAAAGAGAAGATTCTGCGTCTTTGCAATAAACTAAGTCAAGGGTATATTTAGCCTGGAAAGCAGAAGTATCCAGGGGTGAGGTGGGGGTAGGTCAGGGGAGACAGGCTAGCTTTTTCTCAGTAGCTGCGATGTCCTGTGGAAAGGAAGTAGATCAACTCCAATGGGTAGAGGTTGTGAAGAGGCAGGTTTCAAACGTACTTGAGGAAAAGCTTAGTCTCACAGAGTTGTCAGCAAGCACTTTCGAAGGTTGTGAGCCCTTGTTCCTGGATGTATCTGACCCATGTAGGACTGCTGATGGTTGTTGGGCAGGTGTCTGAAGCCATTAACATGATAGGCAGTAATTGTGTGGGTGGGCATCTTCCCAGAGATGGACATTTTTCATCAGTGTTCCAAACGGGGCCGTGACCTCAGAGTTACAGGGCTGCCACGTATGGTTATGTAAGTTGTGCACTGTGCAGCCCCAGAGGGCATCACTTACACTGTGAGTGTGCAGAATTGTGCAGTGCCCCCAGGAATTGAAGAGAAGTTTCCTCTGTGGGTTGAATGCTGGCTAAATGCTTTGAGGATTTTCAATGTGAAAAGGTCCGGCTTCGTTGAAGAACTCCCCCTACCCTAATGCTGATTAATAGTAGGGTAGAGGGGCAGTGGTTTTATGAGTGATTTTTATTCTTTTCCCAGATGCCATTCTTCTCCTCCCCTCTCTAGAGGTCATTATGCTGAATTTAGATTTATCATTCTATAAATATAAAATGAATGTAAAGAACATGAGTTTATATTTATCAATGAATATAACTTATTTATATGTAAGTAAAATAGTTCTATATATATATACACACACATTATATGTATATTTGTATGTGTGTGTGTGTAAATATATATATATATGACATTTATACCTCCCAAATAATACCTAGGTCTTTCTTGCATGTTTTAAAATTTTATATTAATGGTATCTACTACTCACATTTTTTGTAATTTTGCTTCTTTACTCAGTATTGATTTTGAGTGATCTCTGTTGATACATGTAGCTTGAATTCATTCATTTTTCCTGCTGTATAGTATTTCCATATATAAAGAGACTACACTGTTTTTAGCTGGCCCCTCTTGGTGGGCATTTAGACTGTCTCCCAGGTCCCACTATTACTTAACACGCGGAGTAAATATTTTGTTTGTGCTTCTCTGCACAGATGAAGGTTTCCAGGCCATATACCTAAGACTGGAATTGCTGGGGGTAGAGTCCATGCCTTGTCAATTTTATCAGATTATGTCCAATTGCTTTTAAAAGGGATTGTTCTAATTTACTCTCCAAACAAAAGTTGGATGAGAATTTCTACTGCTCCCCCTTCTAGACCTCGGCGCTTGGTCTGGCCAGAGTTGCTAAGTAAGTTCTGCCAGTGGTATAGATATGAAGTTGCATCCCACCATTTTAAACTTGCATTTCTCTGAGTACTTATGAGGTTAAGCATCTTTTCATGTTTCTTTTTCTCCATTTGGGTTTCCTCATCTGTGAACTTTCTGCTTATATCCTTGTCTCTTTGGATTGTTTGTCTTTTCTCATAGGCAGGAATTCTTGATACAGTCTAGATATTAGTGTCCATGCTGCAAATAACTTTTCCTAGCGTGTAGCTTTTCTGTCTTATTTATGTATGGCATACAGGAGTTTCAATTTTATGGAATTCAGATTTGCCAATAATTTTTCTTTTTTGTCTGCACAGTTGGTATCTTATTTAAGATATAGTTCCTACCCCAAAGTTGTAAACAAAATTTTTTTTTCTAGATTTTCTTCTAAAAGGTTTAAAGTTTTGTTTTTTCACATTCAGGCATATAATCTACCTGGAATTTTGTTTTTGCATATAGTACAATGTAGGAATTCCATTTTTTAAAATGTAAATAACCAATTTCTCCAGTGTATTTGCTGAAACATTTATCCTTTCCCTGCTGATGTGTAATGCCATCTTCCATATAAAGTTTTCCTAGAAGCACAGGTCTGTTTTGGAGCTTTCTATTCTGTTCATCTCTTTTGCTAATTGTGTGTCAATAGTACACCTACAGTTCAATTATAAGCCTTGAACTCATAAGGCAAATCCCTCACTTTGTTCTTTTCCAAAAATGTTCTAGTCTTCCAAATAAATTTCAGAATGATCTTGTCAAGTTAAAAAACAACAATAAAGAAAACAACTCTGGGGGGAATTTCAGCTGGGAGAGTATTGAACTTATAGATAAATTCAAGGAAAACTGACATCTTTGTGATTGAGCCTCTCTGTCCATGAACATAGTATAGCCCTCCGTTTATTTAGGTCTTTTTAAAATGCCTAATGAAGTAGTGCTACCTGATGTGGGCGGCAGAGGAGCAGCATTAGAATCAGCTGGTTGGAAATGTAAACTCTGCAGCTCTCTCCAGACCTAATGAGCCATAGTCACAAATAGAGCATCCAAATGACCTTGTAGTAGAGTGGAGACTACTCTGTGGCTGGGCCTGTGTGGCCTTTTCCAGCCCCACTGGGCCGTGGTTTCCCATAGGAATGTTTTGGACCTGTACATTTGAGGACCTGCAAAACATGGTCTCTGTGCTCCCTTAGAGAACCCAACCTGAATTCCCACACTGGACGAGGTCTCTGTGTAACTTATGTTGTTTTGTACCATTCATTTCCTTTGTAACATGTATGGAAAACCTCAGTTAAATTGTTATTTGGGCATTGTGTTCGTTTATTGTCTGAATTCCCCGAGAGGCGGTCAGGAAGCAGCACCTGTTCTGGTTTTGCTCACTGCTGCTGGTCTGTGGAAGGCCCCCAGTGAATGGTTAGAGAATGTACAGGTACGTGGGAGGAAGGCAGGCAGGCAGGCAGGGAGTATTTTCTAGAAAATACTACATGAGGAGAGTTAAAGTGGGCTCTGGCAAGAACTCATCCCGTGACTAAGCTCCTTCGCCAATACCAGGATCCCTTTGTAATACCTGCATCTCCCCCTCATTTGGGCACCAGGTGGTGGGAGGAGACAGCTACTCTGTGTCCTCACATGTAACTGGACCTTTTTGTCTGCTACTTGGTCATTCAAGATGAAAACCCATGGGAGAATGAACCTACAGCTCTAGCTTTCTCTTCTGATTCTGTCTGTATTGTCTGTGCGGTGTTGAATTCTGCATCCTCAACATACTGAAACACTGCTGTGACACTCCTTTGTTAATATGATGTTATCAGACAGCTCTAATTCATCTCTTCCCAGAGGTGAGCCTGGAACATTCAGACTCTGTGAGATGCCATTGCATCCCATGAAAAACTCTTTGGGGCTACGCAAATATAAGAAGGACTGGAATCTATGTCCTTCAGTGAGAATATCCGTTGCCTTTGATTAATTCAAATTCCCAAATGTACTTTCCTGTGGCATCATTTGGACTCCCTTCCCTCCTCCAGAGACCGCATTCGGGGCCACGTTGCTTGGTGAGCATAGACTGCCTCAGCCGCCTGCTTACTCACTCATTCAGCCAGGGTCTGAGTGCCTGGTGCACTGCGTGTAAGAAAGACACTTTGCGTAGCTGGGGGAGGTGGGAGTGTCAGATGCGGTTCTAGTCGCCTAGAAGTGGAGGGGAGACAAGCCTGTAGATTCCCCGAAAATCAGTTACAAGGCGCTACTTCCCTGCCCGTGGCTGGCCATGGCTTCTCCCTGACCTTGGGCATCTAGCATCTTGAACGTTCATTTCCCTTCTCAGGGAATAACTGAAATTGCTGGCTTAGCCACTGAGAGCCGCTCAGGCTCTGGGTTCTGACTTGGGCAGGGGGTCTGTGGGGCAGGGGCGGCTTGTCTTCCTGATGTCTCATTTCAAAATCAGGCCATCCTGGTTTCCCTTAGTAACTCATTATGCGTCTGGCACCCGAGCATTTATCTCAATATGTCTGCAATTCTACATTTTGAGCCCACGTGCGACTGAGTGTAACCAGCATTGCAGCGTCAGATGGGCTTTGGTCTATTTTCACTTCCCTTTCTCAGACCCTCAAGTGCCTCTTGTCCAGGGTTTTGCCAGCAAGTCCGCGCTCGCCATGTATACAGTGGAAGCCACTTTTGCATGGCACTCGTTCAGCACACATTTGCTGAGAGCATATTGTGTGCTGGGCCTGCATTAAGCTCTCAGGGTGTTCGGTTCTGTATCTTTGTTCAGAAGGATGCAGTCTTGTCTTTCTGGTTTCCCTTTACTGGAGGAGGTTTTTAAAAATTGTTCATTTCTAAATCATATGACCACTTGAATTGATTTTCTTTGGACACAGAATTTGGGCTCAAAGGAGCTAGAGTGAAACTCTAATTTTTGCTGTGTGCCTGGGGCTGCCCCTGACTCACTCCTAGACTTACCTTCCCCGCTGCCCTGCTCTGAACTGGGCTTGTCCTGGGCTCAGTCTCAGGCTTTTGTTTAGAAGATTCCTCCCAGATTCTTGAGTGTCTGGCTCCTTCTCATCATTGAGTCTTAATTCAAATGTCATTTGGGAAGCCCCTCATCGACCATCCATCTGAATCAGCACCCCAGCCCCTCTCAACCCCGTCACTCAGTTTTATTGTCTGCATATGACTTATCTGAACTCCTTGTGTCTTTTTTCCTAGTTTATTATCTCTGTCTTCATTAGACTAAAAGCCCTGTGCCTGCAAGGACTGTCCCGTTTTGTTCCCTGGTGTCCCACCAGCACATTCTAGGTGCTCAATAAATATTTATTGAAATGCATGGATGGAAGAGTGAATGAATGAATGAATGAATGATCGAAGGAATGTGTCTTAACCCCGTGGAGCTTAGTGTCCTCTTACTTTGTGTTTGCCCCGTCTATTGAGGGGCATAAGTTCCCAGGATCAGAAACGTAATCCATCTCTTAGGTCAGCTCGCTGGTAGAGAAGTGGGCTCTCCTGTGAACACTTGATTTCCTTATTGCAAAAGTAATCTGGTTTTTTTTTTTTTTGGTAGAAAATGTAAGAAGTATGTTTAAGTAAGGGAAGGAAAGCACCATACACAATGGGATTTCATTTTCCATGCTGATAAGGCAGGGAGAGGTTACTTGCCAAAATCTACTGTTCTGAATCCCTTGTATCCAGCAGAGCCATCCTGGTAACCATCCCTTGAGCAGGAGCCAGGCCTCCCCGTGGAGCGGAGAGCCTTACTTCTCCACCCCCAGTGATGGAGGCCCAAGCCCCTCTCTCATCGCCACCAGCAACCGTCTGCCTTGAGTCGTCCTCACCAGGGGTGCCTGCTTGCCCAGAGCCCCAGCCCCTAGAAGGACCAGCGAATTGCTCTGATGCTGATGCAGTCTGACCGGGACACAGAGAACATGAGTTCAGGGCAGAGGCACTGCTTGTATAGGTGTTGAAGTGATGCTCCTTAAAAGTATCATGATAGGACGTGAGGATGTAGAGACCTGGGCTTAGGGCCAGACAGCAAGGTTTTGAATCCTGTTGCTTCCACATTTCAGCCTTGGGCTCATTACTTAAATCTCTCTGCAACTCATTTTCTTTGTCTGCAAAGTGTGAGGAGGAGGTGGAGGAGTGATTGGGCTTAGTAAGTGCTGAAGCGCTGCGATCTGTTACTATGCATTCTTGATTGTTACAGTAAAGGTATTTGTATATAAAATCGGCTAGAAGGGTATTTGTTTTCACAGATTGTGGGTG